CATGAATCATGTGGAACAGTTTTCTATTTGTTTTTGGTTCTTTGAATCTTCTGTTGTGGTGTATGTTGCCTTATTTTTTATTTAATTTTTAAAATTGTGGGTCTCCTATATACTATAATTATTTATTAATATCTTGTAATTAATATACAATAAACCTAACCTCAAGGCCAACATGAAGATTTTGATTGGGAATTCTGACCCCATAAGAGTTATGTTGAGGAGCACCTAGGATGCTCATTGAATTTACCCCTATATCTGATTCAAAAATAAAAAGAAAGCTAAAAAAGAAGATACTTTTGATAAATAAAATTTTAATAACATTATATTATCTCATATTTTTCTCTCATAATGTTCCACTCATAATATGATAATAATAAAATTATTTTGATTCATTAGCTACCGTGATTTAGTTGACTCTACCAGCGCTTTGTTAAAAAAAAAAAAATTACATATAAATAAAATATAAAAAGAACCAATCAAATATTAACACATAAAGATGTAAAAGTTACGAGTGAAATTAAGAGAGAAATGTAACATTACATATATAATTTTTAATGTAACATATTTTAATTAATTATTTGTCAACCTAAGATTCTTAATTTAATTATCATATAATAAAATTTGTGAAGTCCAACAAGATATATGCAAAAATGCTATTTGCATGTCTTATTTTACATGTCTTGTTTACTCTCCTTTGTCATACCACATCTTCTTTCTTTATATATTTTCTTTTATTTTACTTTTTGTTTTGTTTATTTAGCAGCTCTTTAATTTTGACGTAATTTCTAAATATATAAATTTTATATATTAACACACTTAACTAAATATTATCAATAATTTGTTAACTATCATGTAGTGTGATGACATCTCGGTTACCATTCTAAATAGGTGGTCAATGGTCATTGGTTTGAACCTCAGTGGTGGAATCATGAGTTTTTTTTTTTTTTTTTTTTTTTTTTAATATTGCCATCAAATTCACTTAAATTAAGTCCAAATTAATTAAACTTGACACATAAAATGAGACAGTAGAAGTATTTAACTTGATTACAAGACAAGAATGAGCTATTTTATACAAACTAGTCCCCAACCACCCCATGAGAATATGGTGGGCGGTTGGATCACGGTTTAACTGGTCTGCGTGCATGCCCGAGGCCTAGGACGTCTCCCCTGAAGCCGCCTTCCGCCACAAGCCCTCGGGTCGTGGCCACCTCTAGCTGAGGCCGACCCGAACCGGAGTCGACCTTAGCCCGGGTCAACCTTGGCCGAGGTCGACCCCTGCCGGGGTCGCCTTTGGCCCCTCATGCCGCGCCATCTCCTCTCCAAGTCAGTTTGTCCCGGCCTGTTTCTAACATTTCCATCATCAATCTCCCACTCTCCGCAACTTATATTCCTTATCTTTTATTACCGTATTATCCATTTACTATATTATCAAATTTAATAATTTGGATTACCCCGAATTAATTAAATCGATCATACATTTTAAATTTACTTTTAGAAGTGCACCGTGTACATACAAATTTAAAGGTTGAACGCAAAGGGGGCATTTGGATGACCCACATAATGACATAACCACATTGAAGAGGCCTTTTAATTTGTTCCTTGTTTACTTGTGGCGGAGAAAAACGCCAAAGTATATGAAAGGGCATTTGTGGGAAATGAGGTGACTTGTGAGTTGTGAGCATCTGAGGATTTGACGTTGTGAAAAGCAGCCACGTGTGAGATCGAAGGGAAACGAACCAAATTCTTGGTACAAAATGAGTTGCCCCAAATCACGAACCCATACTGTCCAAAGATATTTTCCAAGCCTAACCACACATATATTGTTTTATTTCCTTTCCTTCACAACCATCCGGACCAACTTTCTAATTTTGCATTCGCACCACATATACTTTGCTCAACAACTGTTCTAGTCGTCACTCGTGAGACGTTCTTTTTTTTTTTTTTTTAATGGTTTTAAATCTGTTTTATTGTTTTCTATTTTTTTTTTATCTTTCATTTTTTTCACATGACTATCATTTTTTTTTTTTTTTGTATTATCACAATTAGCACAATAATATTATGACCAAAAGTGAATGTTTTGATTTAAAAAAAATTAATTAATAGTGGACTGTCACTTATAAATATCAAAAATGAAATTAACTCATTAAAAATATCAGGTTAATTGTCTATTCAATTACTTGGCAAAGTTGTATATATTTAGATGACTTTTATTTACACACGCTGTCGACTTGTTGTGATATGAGTTTGAGTAATTTGTTTCTTTCTGCTTCTTTGTATGAAAATATTGCATATGGTTGGATTTGATGTTTCAACTTTCAACACAAATTAAATATATACAATATTGTCAACTAACTTGTAATTCAATGACACTTCAGTGACTCTTTTAAATGGGGAGTCACAAGTTCAAACTCCAATAAGAACTTTGATTCACTGTACTTCAAGAAGTATGGACAAATATTATATTGTAATACAGTCAATAGTATATATATAGAGAGAAGAGTTATTGTGCAAGGAAAAGAATTATATTTCTTTTTGAGAAGAATTATATTTCTATGTCTCATTATTAATTTAGTCACCTCCAACAATGCATACTCTGATTTTCTGGCATGAATTTAAATGTGAGTGACTGTTCCAACCACAATATAACTACATTTAATGTTTTCATAAACAAGTTAATCGTGACAAAATTCATATAGAATATATGCAATTTGTTTAAGTAACCAGTCTATATTTTTAATGTTGTTATTATTATTATCATTAAAAATTAAAAATTTGGCCAAATCTTTTTTTTTTTTAATGATGAGAGAAATTAGTAGTTACTATTCGAGGGTATGCAATGAATAAAGCCCGCTCATGTGTATTAGTCACAAATCACATATGAGAGGTAAACAATATGGAGAGAATTTAGCCAAATATTGTGTAATATAATATAAATGAGTTAATACCCCAAACGGTCATCGATTATAGTAGTTTTTCTCAATTTCGTCCTAAACAATTTTGATGACCTAATATAGTTCCAGACTTTTGTGTTTTTGCTAAATTCAATCACCCGTTTGTTATTCTGTCAAATTGATGTTAAATAAATGAATAATTCAATAATCTCAATATTGACATCTCTTTACTCTCAGCTGTGCGAAGTGCGAAATCTGTCTTTCTTTTGCAAATTACTCCCAGACTTGCAAATCAAATTTTATATTCGTCAGTGACGGTAAATATGTTATCAGATAATATTATTGTATAAGTAACAAGTTGTTTTGCTAAGTGTTTCCGTACAAAAATCAAAATGTCCCCCTCGGTTGTGACCTGGCCTCATCCTTTATACTATAGACTTATAACAGTTACATTAATAGCACAACGGCCTTATATTAAGTGCAATGGCCGGCTCCTTAGTAATTGTTGTGCGCTCCCTCCATAAGTGCGTTGATCGCCCATACCTCCTCTCTTTGATGAGGTTGCGCTCTTAATACGTGACCTCTTGTAACTGTTCACTTGTTCTCTGCACTTGACTGTTACCTTTGAATGTCATCATTGATTTGACAGGTTAGACCAAGTGTACCGAGTCAGACCCAGTACCTTGTCCAATTATCCTGTCAGCAGGTTTGAGAGTAATTCTGGGAGTAATTCGTAAAAGAAAGAGAGATTTGACACTTCACAAGTCTAGGAGTAAAGAGATGTCAATATTGAAATTATTGAATTGTCCATCTATTTAACACCAAATGGACAAAATAACAAACGGAAGACTAAATTGAACAAAAATACAAAAGTCTGGGATTACATAAGGCCACCAAAGTCATATACGATGAAATTGTGAAAAATCATTATAGTCGATGACTATTTTGGGTATTAACTTTGATATAAATGGTATGGGGTAAACATAATATTTTATTAGCAAAGTTAATACAAGAAAATTGAAGAGAATTTGGTTTGAGGCTTTATTCCCCTTTGAGGGAATGAATATTTGAGGAAAAGAAAATCGCAAGTAATTACGGAGTAATATTTATGTATATTTAAAAAGATAGAATTATATTTATTGTATTTGTATATTTTTCTTATTTCTCGTTTCTGTACTAACCAAGTGTAGAAGTGCTCGAGGAGTAAGTCTATGACCCTATGACTCTCTTTGAGTGAGAGTGAGGGTAGGGGAAGGGAGAAAATGGAGGGTTTTAAGAAAAAAAAAAAAAAAAAGAAAAAAAAAAGGGAAAAGAGGTTTTTGTGGCCAATAAGGCAATAATGCATTAAAGTTTTTTTTTTTTTTTTTAATTATTAAGAATTGGTTTTAAACAATATAAAACTTTTAAATTATAAGGATATGTTCAATTCAATATTACCTCAGTACAATAAATGGAATTTTTTTTTTCAATAACTTAAAATCACACAACGGAATTCATGCGATCTCATTCGAAATAGAAGCAAGTATGAATAAGGGTGTGTTTGGTTCGCACATAGGAATCGGAATCGGAATGGGTATCAAATACTTGGTAATGGTAATGGATTTTGGTGGAAGTATTTAACATGTTTGGTAGTAGGATGAAATGAGAATGGTTACTAATAATAGTTCTTGAGAATAAATAAGGGAATGAAACCCTTATTTTATTTAGGTATGAGTTTTTTAATTGATGGGGTATTTGAAACCCATAGTAGTGTTCTAAAAACCTATCAACCAAACGACAACAATCACTTTCATACCCATTCCTATGGGCAAAACCTATCAACCAAACACACCCTAAATGTTTTTTTGAATGTTACTGACTCTATTATATTGTAGTATATGTTCAAGTATATTTGATTATTTCAACGTAATGAAGCACACAGAGTCAATAATGCCTTCATGAATAATTATTTAAACATTTGTTTATTTCTAATTTGTGGTTATTGGTTCAAGGATACATTACGTTACAAAACGGGGAAAAAAAAAGTTTATTCTGAAAATAACAAAAAAGTAAAGTAAATGGGTTTTATGGCCATTAGTCACGCCAAGTCGCAAACAAATGAAACAAAAGAAAAAGAAAAAGAAAACGCAAAGAAAAACATATAGCTGTTTCAACGCACCGCCTATCTCGCATTCACCAGTCTCTCTCTCAAATCCTTGGGGTGTTTATCTCTCTAAACCCGTGCTTTTTCTCTCTCTCTCTAAAACCAGTTGTTTCTCTCTCCTCCCCGGAGCTGAAGGTACGGCAGAGTTTTTACATGGTTTCATCCCCTCTATTCTCTCCACACAGTATCCCACCATTCTCTCTCTCTAAAATCCGTACAATCTCCATCCACTCTTCATCTCCTATATATCCACAAATTTCACAGCACAGTTTTTGTCCGCAAACCAACCTTGAGGTTTTTTAAAAGAAAATTTCGTTTCTGGTTCCTCTGAGATCCGGCGGCGAAACGTGATTTTTTTCTGTCCTGTTGACGATGAAGGAGACGGCGACGGTGGTTAGGAGCTGCGAGCTCTGTAATGGCGAGGCGGCGGTTTGTTGCCCGTCGGATTCCGCGTTTCTGTGTTGGAGCTGCGACGCCAAGGTTCACGATGCAAACTTTCTCGTTGCTCGACATATTCGGAATATTATTTGTTTGAAATGTAAATCGTTTACCGGACATCGTGTTTCCGGCTTCGGCGTGGTTCCGATTGCCGGTCACTGTGCTTCGTGCTCGTCGCCGCCGGAGGAGGAGGAGGCTGATCTCGGCGATGCGGTTTCTTCTTCTTCCTCGTCGTCGGCTTGTGTTTCGTCTACTCACTCCTTCCGTCAAAATAAAATGAGTGATCAGTTCGATTGCAGGGGGAATGGCGGATCTTCGGAGTCGTTGGCTTCGCGAAACGAGTTTTCGACCGAGGTTACTTTTCCGGCGACTCGGGGGAAGTGTCAAGCGAGATCGCCGCCGGTACCGTCGAAGCTTGACCCCGCAGCCGAGGGCATTTTCGTCAACTGGTGCAAAAGACTCGGAATCGGCGCGGAGGACAAAGTTGTCCGTAAGGCTTGCGACGCTTTTCGGCTCAGTACGGCTCTCATATCGGTTCTACCGTTCCGAGCCGTTCTCGCGGCGTCTCTATGGTTCAGCTTGAGAAGATGCTGTGGCCACTCATCGTCCACGTGGCGGGCTGTTAAGAAGCTCGAGGAGATCTCCGGCGTGCCGGCGAAGCTCATTTTAGCCGCCGAGTCGAAGCTGCAGCGGGTCGAAAAAGCCGGTAAGCAGCGGCGCCATTGGTTAGAGGAAGGATGGGATGAGTCATGAGTTATCGGCTTGGTCGTCGGAGCTTGAACGCTTGCTATAGATAGCCGCTTAAGTGTTCGGTTGTGATTCATCCCTTGCACAAAGATTCTCTCGCAGAAAAATAATTCTGCTTTTTTTTTTTTAATAAATTAATTAAACTTAATTAATTAGGGTTTAGATTTTCTGGTTAATTTTGATTTCTTAATCTTCCATAAGTTAGATAGGAAAATATTTCTTCCCTTTTCTTAAGTTTCATGTTTGAAGCATGGTCATAGGTTTTCCAACAAATCTTTAGTTTGGTTTCTTCGACACTAGAAATTCTGTCAACTCCATTTTCACTAAAATCATGAATCTTATTGTAAATTAAATTTAATCAAAGTCATGATTTCTTTAGTATCTCTATTTTTTCTTTTTAATAATATGAGTTACTCATACTAACAACATTGTTAGGAGTACGAAATATAGAAAATTAATATCCACCAAATTTTGAGTACGAAACTAAAACACACACACACACATATATATATATAGAGAGGAAGGTTTAGGTGCGGCGTCACTAATAGTTCAACAAATATACACCATCAATGTTTTAGAAAAATACGTCACAAAAATACACACAAATTAGATACGAATCACCAAAAACACACCATTAGGTGTGAGCAAAAACACTATACAGTGTTCGGATATACACCATTGGGGGTGGTGAATTATATGGTTTATTTTTTTGGGGTCTGTTGTGTATTTTTTGGTATTTTTTTGCATTTCATTATGGTGTGTTTCCCTTACACTGTTGGTGTATTCTGAAATTGCGCCACACCGCCGCACGGGAAGACCTCGCCGCAACGGCGAAGACCTCCCGTGCGGCGGTTTTCAGAATACACCAACAATGTTAACGAAAAGCACAAAGAGTGTAACGGAAACACACCACAATGAAATGCAAAAATACACAACACACCAAAAAAAATATACCATATATCTCCTTACCATTAATGGTGTATTCCTAAACATTGTGTGGTGCTTTTAGTCATACCTAATGGTGTGTTGTTGGTGATGTGTACCTAATTTGTGTGTTTTTTTGTGGTGCATTTTTGACATTGATGATGTATATCTTGCTTAACTATTTGTGTATTCTAAAAACCGCCGTACAACCGCATGAGAAAGGGTCGCCGCACCTGTACTCGCCTATGTATAATAACAAAGAAAGGTTTTGAAAATATGATATTTAAACTCAACGAAAGAAATATGAGTCATGTGTACTCATATTCTATTAAAATTGATTCACTACCTGCTGATTGTGCTAAGAGTGTTATAACGTTAATTTTCCGTGATAAAATTTAACTTAAATTTGAACACTTAATCTAAAAGCTCGGTGAACAAGAACACCAGGCATGTCCGCAAGTACTCTGTACAATTTACGAAATTGTTGGTACAAATTTTTTTTGAAGAAAAGAGTTAAGAGAATTATGTATATCTATATAAAATAAATTTTTAAGAAAATAGATAAAATGTGATTTTTTTTTTTCATATTTGTGTTTTCTTTTTTTTTTTTTTTTTTTTTGAAAGGGGAAATTGTCCTTTCTAAAAAACTATGGTCTGAACCCACTTAAAATGTTCAAAGTAATGAAAGAAAAGTTGTAAAAACTAAAAAGTTAATAATGTTTAAAATTTTAAATGAGAACATTATTTTAAAATAGATCAAACAAACAAAAAAAAGACAGATAAAATAAATTAGCGAGAGAATATAATATATTAATCTTAGTAGCTTGATTAGCTATAGTTGATTCCAAGCACCCGGTTTTGAGCCTGGGGAACAAAGCATGATGGTGGCAACATATAATATAATTTTACAACTACCTGATCATGATATAAATATATAAACAAAAAACATTAGATAATGAATAATATGAAAGCCAACATATATGATTAAAGGATATTTCAGTCAAATCAACGCTTTTAATTGTCAAAATATATCGAACATCGTTAGAGAAAATAAAGTTCAGAATACATTATTAATCCATGAGTCATTTAGTCTCAAATTTTGTGCATCGCAGCTATGAACTAGTTTTTGAATTTTGGTTGGAAAATATGTATATAGCTTCTAGGTAGATGCTTGGAATTTGAAGTGGTTGGGCAAAATGTCACTTCAAATGTTATATTATGTGTAATATCTAGTTATTACGCGGATCTCAAATTTTAACTATGTATTTTTAGAAAAGATATAATTAATTATAATTCTAAAAAAAAATATTAGATCTTAAAAAAAAACAAACTCAATTTTATAAGGAGTAAAAATACTTAAAATAGTCCCTCAACTATAGCTAAATTCACAAATTGGTCCTTGACTTTCAATTTTAACCAATTAAGTCATTAACTTTGCAATTTTAACACGATTTGGTCCTTCGAACACTTCTGCATTAATGCCGGCGCTCGCGCCGTCATCGACGATTTCCAAAAATACCCGCAGCTCTCACCGGAGCACATGGAGGCCTCCAGGATGACGCTGCACCGGTTCGGAAACACATTGTCTTCTTCACTCTGGTACGAACTCAATTACATTGAATCCAAATAGAGGATGAAGAAAGGCGACAAGATTTGGCCGATTGCTTCGGCGGTGGATTCAAATGTAACAGTGTGGTCTGAAAATGCAACCGGAACCTTAAAAAATCGATGATGGACCATGAAATTACATATATATTCTCAAAAATCACAGTCAACAACCGGTCAAATAGACGGATGACTAAATCGTGTTAAAATTGCAAAGTTAAGGACTTAATTGGTTAAAATTGAAAGTCAAAGACCAATTTGTAAATTTAGCTATAGTCGAGGGACCATTTTGGGTATTTACTCTTTTATAAGAGCAGCTCCATTAAGATTTTTATGTTTGTTTTTTGCAACGTTAAAATTTGATTAGGTTGTATGGTTTTTAACAAATGGGAGCATTGATTTGTTTTGCATTTTTTTTAATGCAAAAACTTGCAGGAGAAAAAAAAAGAAAATGAAGGGAAGGGAACGTGCGCTTGGAGTACACTATGCGCCCCGCGCGCGTGTTTTTCACGTGCCTGCTGGGGCGTTTCAAAGTGGCTGCCAGTTAGCAACCACTCTGAATTGTTTATTTATTTTTTTTGGCCGTTGCTATTAGTAACAGCCAACTCCTTCTTCTGTTTTTTTTTTTATTATTTATTTTGTTAAAACATTTATAATTATAAATTTATTTTAATTTTGATATGTTTAATTTAAATATAATAAAAATAGTAATTGTAATTATAACTTTTATAATGATAATGATAAAGAAATAATTAAAATATAGTGGAGTAAAATGGTAAGTCCACAAAAAATGAGAAAATAAAAATCTAAAACTAATGAGGAGAAGAGTTTTTGAGATTGAGTGAGATAATTTTTAACCTTCATATAGGCATCCTTAATAGTGTGAAGTTTTTGAGGAGATTTTACAGGTGTGATTAGGAAAAAAAAAATGAGAGCGGGAAAAAAAGAAGAATGAAAAAAAAAACAAAACTAAAATCTGAAAACAAAAAAAAAACAATATATATATAATAAATAATAATTATGCGCCCAGGCGGGCACGTGCACGGAACGCGCAACTCTCACGAAACTCTCCATTTTTGCAGGACCAACTCCCACTCTCTCTCTCTTCCATCTCTTTTCTCCATCTCACCCAACATTTCTTAAACTTTGTGCAAGATCCCCTTATTGGGGTTGCTCTGAGTAACTGAAGAAAAAACCTCCATCAATTATGGAATTTTTAATAATTATAGTATTGTACTATCTTCGAAAGGAAATAATTGCATTATAAAATAGAGAACAAAATAGGTCCTTCCGGCTTCCACGGTAAAAAATCTTAAGTTACCGTGACTTACTTATTCACCATCCTGTTAGGCTAGGGTGGGAGCCCTTGGAGGAGGAAATTTGACATTTTGTTGGCAAAATAGAGACAAAAACTCAACTAGTCAATACCGCCCCATTCTCCGGGAACTCCATTGAAAATATTCTGTTGGATTCTTTACAATATACTTTTTTTTTTATTTATTCGATCTCGTTCGACATCATATCAAGACATTTCCTATTTGATATAGCTATTTGCGCAAGTATTTTACGGTTAAGAAGCAATTGGTTCTTATACAGACCGTGTATGAATTTACTATAACTATGGGATACTCCTCTTTCGCGAATTACTGCGTTTATCCGAGTGATCCACAACCGACGAAAATCTCTCTTTTGCCTATCCCTATCCCGATGAGCTGAAACCAAAGCTCTTTTTTCCTGTTGAGTCATAGTTTGAGTAAGCCTTGAATGAGTCCCTCGAAAACTTGATGCAAAGAAATGCATTTTTGTTCGGCATCTCCGAGCTAATTGAAGCTCAAACTCATGACCTCTCATTTGGGAGAGTCATTTTATGCCACTTAACCATAAGGTCTTGGCATCAAATTTCAATTAATAACCAAAATATTTTTAACATAGCTATAATTGATTGATTAAGAGAAACAACCTAATTTTTGTGACTTCATAACCAATAACTAACTATTGCACATTCCTACGTTGAAGTGCCTATTTAATTCTTACACCATATCCATTCAAAAATCGAACTAACTATAATTTTTTGTTAACTTCATAATTGATAACATATCAAAAAAAAAAAAAAATCTGGTTGATTGTTTTTTTTTTTTTTTTTTTTTTTCTCACCTTGCTTGAAACATCTTATTAAACCAAATGGACCAAGGGAGATTCACGCTACCTCATCCATATTCTTATAGGTCTAGATTATGATACTTTTAACATAATTAAACACACAAAATTAAATAAGAAGAAAATTAAGGAGTTGTAATCTTGTTGGTAGAAAGAGACCAAAGCACGCAATTGAAGATACGGTGGTTAGGGATGGCGCAGGTTGGAGTTGTTTGAGACAGACAATCTAATGGACACAAATGGCTGCACGGACACACAGATTTATGGCCACATTTTCCCAAAGGATCTTTCGATTTCTCCAACTCCAACCTTAGATCTATTCTCCCAAAACGTTGAATTCTCAATTCTAAACACTTCGACAGAAGAAATCTATCCAATTTAGGTATAATTTTTATACTGTTGCCGTCAAGGTTCTGGTATGATCTTCTCCTAAAAACTGCTTACTGAATCATTGAGTTAAGCTTGTGCGGACAAGAAGGGTTAGATTTCTATTGCGAAACATTACGGGTTTTAGTTTGAATTGAGGTTATTTATTGTATGTAAAATATACAGTTTGGTGTTCAGTCTTGAAATTTTAACTTGTTTTACCTTATTATGAACTTGGAGACAGGTTCATGAGTTTAGGATATAGTCCGGGTGAAACCGAGACATTTGGACCGTGGAAAATAATGGAAAACATACATAATGTTGAGTGATTGTATATTAGCCAGTCGTACAGTATTGGGTGTTTTGCAAAAGCAGTTATGGCTTTTAGCAGAGACAAGTGTAACTGCTCAACCATTATTGGGTTATGGGTAGGATGGCAAAGCTACTCTTTACTTTCTCTTTTCCTCTTTAATGCTTAGCATTCACTCCTCTCCCACTGCAGCCCCCACATTCTTTCCTACTTCGTGTGGTGTGGTGTACCCTTTGAGTCTTTTGTTTAAAGATGAAAAGATATTATTGGATGAATCTCGAGTTCTTTGAAGATTATAATTTAATGTTTTCACACATTTTGTGTCTTTGAATGGGGTTAGTAAATGGGCAGGTGAATATTAAGTCAGAGAAGGGAGTCTAAGAAATGTTGGTTATTGTGTCTTTCCCGAATATTCATACCAATAGATATTTTGTAGTTTTTGAAATAGTGCGTGCTGATTTGGTAAAGAGAAAAGACAAGAGAGAGTGAAAAATAAAACAAAATTGAGTTTTTTGAATAGTGTTTCGTGCTCAATCCAATACATGTATGCATTTCGCGCACAACAATGCCCAACCAGGCGCGTGCAATCTAACTGGCGCGTTAGCCATCACTTTTGTGTGTGTGTGTCAAATTCCCTCAGTTTTTGTTTATTTTTCGTTTTATTTCTTTTTTTACTCCACTCACCTAATTGTAACATAAAAAACTGTGCAAAAAATCAAATATGGATGTTCTAAGAGCATCCTCAATAGGCATAAATTTTGAAGAGTTTTTTGCAGGTGTGATTAGGAAAGAGAACATGGAAGAGAGAAATGATAGGAGAAAAAAAAAGCAAAAGAAATTACGTGCCCGGTTGGGCGATTGGAGTGCACGTGCTGGCTGTGCGCTTTTAGTGTGCTTCGTGCAACAAACACATCAGCCTTTTCAATTTTGGTGGGGCTCACTGTGCAGATAAAAATCAAGTCTTCCTGTTAAAATCTCAAAAAAAAACAAAAAAAAAACTCTATATATACATCAAAACCCACAAAAACCATCTAAAATCAACTATTGTGGATGCTCTAAGTTGGAATAGTTTGCATAGATTTTGTTTAATCTTTCGTTCTTCCTGACTTTGGAACGTGTTGTCTTGTTATTGGAATGGACTAGTAGGCCTAACCCTACTAGCCGAGTCAAGTTGTGAGTGCTAACACTTAGAATAGAAATGGTGAAATGAAACACAAGGGAACATGTGATATATGAGGGAAACTTACAAATATAAGCACAACCGTGTTTGCAATTCTTTTAAATATGCATTTGAGAAAATTTTACTTCTAAGACTATTGTTATATTGTCACACTTAAATCTTGACTTTTAATTTGACAGTATTTAGGCTTATGAGGGAAAGAGTCATGAGACTAAATGCTGCCACCACTAAAATCAGAGACCAAGGTTCAAATCTCGGTGGCTGTAGTGTGGGAATTATGTCTAAAAGTGGATAGATTCCTTGTGCGCGCCGACATTTGGCCTTGTCTGTTAAACCATTGAGTCACCGTGATTTACAATTTTCCACAATACTCTGTCGGGTCGGAGTGTTGGGGGCCCTTGGGGTTGGGGACTCAACCTTTTGGGAGAAGAATTATATCTACGCATAGATATTAATTGTTTATTAGTATTTTCTTTAAGAAATGTATTTTTAAACATTTTATAAAATGTTTATAAGCTTATTGAGAGAAAACATTTTTAAAATGAAAGAACGTTCATCTTTAAAAGTATTTGTGCATTTAGGATGAACCTAATAATATTTTTCTAATCCTTTGTCCAATCTTGTTGATATTGGGCCAGAGCCCAGATGCCCAGACCCTAACACTATTAAATAGGAGTTGTTATACCATGGACTAGGGTCCACCTTGCAAGGTGGATTCTGGTTAAATGACGTATAAATTGTGACTTCTAAAATATAAATTATTTTTTTTTAAGTCAAAATAAATAACAACTGTAGAAAGGAATTTGGGAATACAATACATGGTTTGTTAATATTGTGTGGCGGCAGTATTTGAAAAGAAACTTGTGAATACAAATTACAAAACAAGGTAATCAATTATATTAACATTGTGTGTTTGTAGTATACGAATTTTTAAAATTTAAATTATGAACATTTAGTATGTTCTAAATTATGAACATTTGGGTCCGGGTCGCAAGTCCACACAATAATTTGCCACTAAATAGAAGCACATTTTCTAATGAAACACTCTGGCTTGACTCTATAGTCTAGACCAGATTGATGGCTGGCAGAATCTACTAGCCTCCTTGCAATTCTTTGTTAGTTAAAGTTATAAAGCGGGATAAGTGTTGCAAATTTTTTGTAAATCAAAGAGTTCATTGGGCCTTAGCTTATTCATGTGTTTCTGCTCATGGCCTATTTTGTGCACAACATTGATACATTACATTTTTTGAGATTTTAAGGTGGATTGTGACACAAGTCAGATAACAATTGTATATCTCTTTTACCAAAACAAAGAATAAAAGAAATAACATAGTATTTTTGGTCAACCAGGCCAAACCTATACACCAATTTAGAACCAAAGTCACATGACAAAAACATCTCTATAGACAATTGCTGGCACCAGCAACCCCTCTTTCCCCTATTTCTTTGCACTAAATTTCTCTGCTACACAGTGTACATCCGACACAGATTAGTTTGTGACTCTTTTTCTGCACTAAATTTGGACAAAATCTTGTGAAGTTTAACCCCATAACTTCCTGGCTGCACAGAGTTAATGTCACCCCAGCTTGAACACACTTTCCCTTCACCTCCTCCACTCTTCACACTCTCATTCGTGCTTCGGGGCAAGCACCATTTCCCCGGGACTAACCCATCTGGTGCTCGGTTTAGCACGTTCCTATCGAGCCCTTCCATGGCCTCATCGTCTTTCTCGAAGGTCCTAGCGAAAACCGCTAAGTCTGACGTGAATTCGTCACGTTGTAACAGGTTCAGCGCGCCCTTGACAGTGTGCAGCCTCAGGTCGCGGTTCACTGTGCTGTTTTGGAACTCCGGGGTGTTGCAGACGAGGGTGTGGAAGTAGGATTCGAGAGGGGAGACTACATTGGTGTAGTACAAGAGTAGTTTTCGAGGTAGATTGTCCCACCCCTCCACGCAATGCTCCATGAAACCTCGGCTCAACGTCGTCCAAGGTGAACCTAGTACATGAAAAAAACAAAAACAACATCTGTTAAAACTTTCAAGAAACTTATTAGTCCTTTAGTATCCTATGTTTCTCTGTTTTCTGTTTTCTGTTTTTCGTGTTTGGGCCAACTAACCTCCAAAAATCTTGAATGCATCTGGTGATCCTCTACCCTCTCTGGCATAGAAAATGGGGGTGTTCTCTGTGGAATACAGATTGGGATCAACTGCAATCTGATTGAAATCATACTGCCTGCAAATATATATTCTTGCAGTCATCTTCAACACAAAATGATGATACATATATACATCTAGCTAGCTCTTATCAGCATCATATATATCAAGCTGGTAACTCTTAAATTACCCATTGAACTCGGTAATGTTCTTGAATCCCAAAAAGTTTACATCTCTTGGTAAGCAAGTGAAAGCATACAAGATATCTGCACAAGAAAGATTGATGGTTATTTGCATACAACAATTGATATCTGACTTTACAGTTGCATTAACAGTTTGTTTACTGACTGTTCAACAATCCAGTCAAATTAGTCAGATTGTTGACTTGTTAACCACAATGTCCCAAGTTTGACTCTCAGTGGAAGCGGCCTCTTGACTTTTTGGTTTGAGTCTTTTACTTGCTAAGGTCATAAGACGGGTTTACCTAGTGTATACTCTTGGATAGTAATTGCAGCTTCCCTCGTCATATAAAAAAGTACTAATGACCAATCCTAGAATTGAACTTGACAGCCGCAATGTGAAAGGTACAATTAATATGGTGAACTCCTCGCGAACATGACATTGGTTTTTCCATTAAATGGACCGCCGTGATTTACTACATTTACAAATCTAATTGGACCCGAATTTGAGTATTAAAAAAAAAAAAAAAATTACCTTTTGTAGGCCCTAATAAATTTGCAGAAGTCATTATTACTATAATGAAACTAACTAACTCACCATCTTGAGTGAGAAGTGGATAATCCGATGAGCTCAAGTTGATGAACCAGTCCCAATCACGGCTGAGTCTAAGCAGCAATGCGGCGGCGTGGAGCATTGCGGCAAGACCGGAAGCTCCCATCTGGTTAACGGCGTAGCTTTTTCCGACAACGTAAACGTTTCCGAATGCCCGGAAAACCTTTTCCTCCTCGACGGACAACACCAAATCCAGTCTCTCCTGATCCGATGAATCGGAATCCAGCTGTAAAAGGTACTGGTTTCTCGGATGATACACTGCTCTCAACAACCTCAACATTCTTTTACTGTCCCCTTTCGACCCCAAAATCCAATACGCCAGTACAGGAGGGAAACTGGGCCCTTTGGACACCGCAACCTCGGACATTGGAAACTCGAGATTCGTGCCGCCTTTGCCGGCCGTGTAATGATCCAGGTTTGACCAGTTCCCGGTTCCCAGTGCCAGAATCATCATCAGAGCCCCGCCGGCGATGCTCAGAAGCCATCGCCGGTACCGCGAAACCCACGAAAAGATGATAGCTTTCGACACTACTATCCTCTTCTGCATAGCTCAAACACAACACAGGGCGGAATTTGCATCAAAAGGGTACCTGAAAACGTGAAATTCTTGGAATTTTTTAATGATCTGATACTCTGGGTAGATTGTTTTGCGTTGATCCTGACCGTTGACTTCTTGCCGGATTCAAATCAAGAAGATCTTAGAACTCGGAGCTCCCGGCATGAATGGAAATTGAAGAAGAAGATGAAGTCATGGATGGCTAGAGATGAAAACAGTCTTTTTTTCTTAACCATTTAGTCAAAGGTGGAAAGAGATCGAGCAGCCACCCAGTGAGCATCAAACACATGAAAACTTAGAAAAATAGTTTTGCCTTAAAGAAAACAAGACAAGAGCGACATGGAAGAAGAGGAGATGATTAGATTACTCAAAGTCGGAGAAAAAATTGTCAATGTTTGCAGGCCAATTCACCAGATCAGATTGGGACATGATGACTACAGACATTGACATGTGGCCCTTCCAATTCTTTGCTTATTTCTCAACCTTCCCATTTTTTTATTACAAAAACTATGCATCTTTTTAATTATAAAACAATCATAAATTCTAGAAGTCTCAAACACTCAAACTGTCCATTAACCCTACTGTGAGGGCTCGTTTGGTTCGCTGGAAAATATTTGAAGGGAAATGAAATTGAAATTCCATGGAAAATAAATTCCAAGAAAATAGGTTCCATTGTTTGGTTGGTGGAAAAGAAATTACTGGGAATATGAATTCCATTATTTGGTTGAGTTTGGAATGGTAAGAAATAATGTGTATAATGACAAATATAACCCTACACAACAATAATAATATAATAATAATAAGAGTAATTAATAAAGAATGGTGAGGGTAAAATTGGCATATTAGTTTTCCATGGAAAACCTTTTCCATGGAAAACAAAATACCTAACAAAAGCTAGGAATTTGTTTTCCTTATACTCAAGGAAAACTTTTTCCAATGGAAAAGGTTTTCCATCCAACCAAACAACATAAAACATCATTTTCCTTCACTTTTAGGAAAACATTTTCCATGGAAAATGTTTTCCATCCAACCAAACACCCCCTGATATTTTATATTGGACTAATTGCACTAATATTTTTTTTTCTTGACTTTAAGATAATTGGTCGAACTAATTAAGCTAACCTTGTCAAGCTAATTGCACTAATATTATATTTATGTTTAGTGGGATGAGAGTAATTCAGTTAACCTCAGTTATTTTGATTTTAATTTGTTCAAGTGACTCACTTTTAAATCTGTGCGATTTACACATTTTATATTATGTGCCACTTGGAATAGATTGAATGTTTATTCACTTCTATAATGAGTAACCATTTTTATAAACTATTAGACCTGACAATTCGTGTTTCTTGTTTATTATTGTGTCTGGTAACATAAGGTGTTTACATGTTGGGCTCGTACATGAACATGACTTGTTAAACTTAACGTATTGGGAATTCATGCATGAATTTATAACCGGTTGACACGACATAAAACAATAAGCTAATGCGTTTTGAATTTTTTATAGGTTAGCACGACATGAAATGTATTTTTTTTTTAATTTTTAGTGATATAAGCATATAACTCAGCAAGAAAACATCTCATTTTACCTAGATTTTAACATGGCGTTTGGTTGGGAGGAGGAAATTAGGGGAAAAAAATTGTAATTCGGTGAGAATAAAATATGAATTCAAATTACATTATTTAGTACGGATGAATTGAATTATTGAAAATGTGAAAGGAATAAGTGACATAAAAATTAAAATGTCATTTTGTAATAATAATAATAATAAAAGATAAAAAGGTAATTTCCATATATTTTTCCTTTCAGTGCTATGTTGAATTGAAATTTATAGGGGACATAAATTCAATTCAACAAATAGAGAAAATTGCATTTGCAATCCCTTCTAAGTACCAAACACTGTAATTTGAAAACTTAAAAGAATTATGTTATAATTACATTTGAATTACACCCAACCAAACACCTCATAAAATAAAGTTTTGGACTCAAAAAGTTGAATTCGAAAATACGCAAGCATTTTCTATAGGGTATTTAGCTTCTTGTCATTCTTATCTATAAATCTATAATATTATTAATACGCAGGCAGTGTTGTCAATATGTATAAGATTCCAAATTTCCAATAAGTCGTTGGCGCTTAGCGATGGATCAGCTGATCATGTTTCCCATTTTCTTTTTCTCTATTCCAAAATAAGAAAAGTTACCCCTTTCTATCATATCAAAATCAATTTTCACCTACACCTTTTTGAAATGTCCACTCTAGGGGTGGCTCCACCCTATGTTGCGTGTAAAATTAAATTTAAAATTTCTTAAACTTTAGTTAAAAATAAATAAATATTTATTTGTTTAAAAATATTCCAAATCAATTCATTACGTAATATTTTTTTTTAAAAAAAATCATTAGCCTAATTGTGGAAATCAAGTTTATGAACCATTTAAATCATATAATTTTGATAAAAAAAAATCAACAAATCATCATTTTTATAAGGTAAAAAAAACTAATAAACATTTATTTTTATTACATATAAGTTCATTTTTAGGTAATATATTAAAAATGAATCTTTAATACATTAAAAATGACCATTTAACTAATTAATATATTAAAAAATATTTTATATTAATGATTCACATTGTAATGTAAATTATATTTCACGGTATAATACTATAATGATGGGTGTTATAAAGGTTGTATTGTGACGTGTTTGGGCAGCCAACAAATGTTGAGCTTGGGTTCAATGAGATACTTCAAGTGGAAGATAGAGGATACGAGTGTAAGATAACACGAATCGATACGGTATCGTAATTTCACCAATCGATTCAATAGTTAAATTTGATTAAAACATAAAACTTTCATCCAATCAAGACCACAGGCTAAAAAAAAAAAAAAAAAAAAAAAAAACAGAGAAATGTAATGCCACTCTCCATAGCCTGACATAGAATGGGCCTTCTTGACAATCACACGAGCAGCACCGTTCGCGAACTACAAATGAACAAAAGTAGCAGCAAGTTCCTTTGCATCATCTAAAATTAAACCAAAAACACTATCTTCTTATTGTTGTTGAATTGCCAAGAAGACCTGTTGAGCGTCCATCTCCGCTATCACAGGATTCATATAGTTAAATATAATTAGTTATAAATAAATGGATACTCAAGTCATTTTTGACATTACATCCGTGAAGACTTGAGCAATCTAATATGACATACGAAGTATATTTTTGTAATCACTTGTCTATTAATTATTAAAATTCATTATACCTTCATTAAATTGATCTATAATCTTGTTGATGCATGATACATTATTTTCCCATTTACTTTTGCCTTAATCTTTAGTTTATGTTATTTTGGCTATGTTTTAATTATCACCATTCACCAACTCCATTATTATATTATTTTTACAATAATTAAAATATTTAACAGAACTTTAATATTAAGTCTTTTTTTTTAATAATGAATAAAATTCGTCGCCACTATTTAATAGTGTATTGAATAAATTTTATTCATGAATAATAATTTACAAATAAAAATAATTTTAAATCATATAGATTATAACTTTTCATTGAAGAAACAAAATAATATATATACACAATCTCGATGTAATGTTACCAGTTTTCAATGGTCCTTTTGAGAGACATTAATACTGCCCATGTCATATATGTTTCTTCGTCGGGTCGGCTTTCTTGCTTCCCCAACATTCCTTTGTACTAGCAACTTGTGTCTAATGGTCCTGGATCACCGTACATCTTGTAATAAATAACGGGTTAATAAGTGTCCGACTATAATAATGTTACTTTTTTTTCCCTAAGTTATATACCTATAGCATTTTTTTCCCTAAATTATTGAAGTGGCTGTTTTTTCCCCTGAAATGTTAAATAGACATATTTACCCTTAAACTAAATATTTAATTTATTTTTTTCTCCAACAAATTATGACCATAATTTGGTTCAAACTAAACAAACACTATAGCAACCAAACCGAAATATTCCAATTACAATTTAGAATCAAAATTCGATATTTAGAGTTTATTAAAATCGTGAACCGGAACGGACGGTTCATGTTCCGAACTGAAAAAATAAAATACATTTATTGTTGAATTTAGACTATTTTAAAATAAAAAATAAAATTTTAAAATAAAGACGGTTCAAAACCGCGAATCAGATCCGGAACCACCGGTTCACGGTTCAAGATTCAATTTTTTTGATACATAATTTTAATAAATTGACATTTAAATATTGGGTTCTATATCTGAATTATAACCGTAAACTATTAATTCGATTGCTTTAGTATCCGGTTCAATTCAAATCGAACCGTGGTCCTGCTGGAAATCTCGCGTTTTCCGTCCAATATTTCCGTCCAACCATAAATTGGTCGGTATTTTACTAAAGATTTCAACTTTCTGTTACTAAAGATGGATGGACGGAAGGTTGGTCGGAATTTCCGTCCAACGCGCAAGTGTTGAACGGAAATTCCGTCCAACACTCGCGCGTTGGACGGAAATTCCGACCAACCTATAGTGTTGGTTGGTAAAGTCGAATTGACTGATAGGTAGAAATTAAAATAGTAGGTATTTTAATATCCGTCCAACATAATATTGGACGGAAATTTAAATATTTTAGCTAGTAGATATTTTAATTTTTGTCTAAAAAAAATCTAATTTACATGGTGATCGGAACATTTTGCAAAAATTTAATTTCTTTTATTATCCTCCCTTACTTAGAGAAAAAACAGTCTACCATCTCAAATAAAAAGGTCTTCCCTCTCAAATCAAAAAATATTCCCTCTCAAACAAAAAATACGGAGTAATTTTCGTCCAAACATAATACGTCGCCCAAGGATGCCCTTCTCCCTTCTCACTACAAGAAAAACAATTTGTAGTGACAAAAAATTAGTGACGGGTAGAAAATCCCATCACTAAATGTAGTATTTGCATAGTTTTTGTGACGGTTAAAAATTACTCTCGTTAAAGATTTATGTTTTAGTGACCAAATTTTAATTTTATACTTATTTTAAAAGTCTACTCTCACTATTGATATAAAAAATATTATTACTCTCACTATTGATATCTGAAAATTATTTCACTCAAATTTAATTCCCACCAACAAAATTTTGTTTTTGAGCGCCTCTTTTACAATTTACATAGAATTTTACAGTCACTCATCTCCCTCCCCTTCTCTTTTCATCTCTCCTGCATCTCTCACGGACACCATCTCTCTTTATGTTTACTCTCTATTTCCCTTCTCTTTACCATAAATCACTTTGTGGATTTTTCTAGGTATCATCACTAACTAACCATATGGTAATTTTTTAGTTTTTTCTTCTCTTCTTTTTTGACAGTATTTCTCAAGGTAACTTGATGGTAGCTAGGGTTCGACAAGCTTCCATGCTTAAACCCATACAATGTAAGAGCTTGATTATCTTCAAAATTAGAAGTTCTTTCTATGCTTTTCACATATTATGTAATATGCGTTCCTAGTCCTCAATAGCGACGGAGGATGATCCGAGTGCCTTCCGGGCCGACGAGGTGTACGATTTCTCTGCCCCGAGATCCTGCGACTTCGCTCACGGAGTCACGGTGAGTCTGAGGAAGATGCAACCAAGGCTGAGCTCTAGTTCAAGATGAAGCAACCTTTCTTGTTCAATCACTACTCATCGACAGTACTGCCGAGTAAGGTAAAATTGTGGGTGATTCTGTAATTCATGATGGTTTCTTGTTAGGAATATAGCGGAAGCGAAGAATCGAAAATTGAGAATTATAGAAGTTAAATAATAGGGAAAGTATATAAATGACAAAAGTGTTGCTAAATTGGGAAATATAAATAAATAAATAAATATATATATATATATATATATATATATATATATATATATATATATATATATATATATATATAAACTCTCAAACAGAGAATTACAAAACAAACATATATATATTTGTACGTGAAGGAAAGGAATGAATTAAGGATGGATAATGAATTGATATTGATGCATTACAAAATAAAACACTTAGCCTATTTATACATTAAATTGAGAGAGAAATAAGACAAATGCATGAACCTCCACAAATCTCGGAGAATGTGCAAGAATAGAGACCATGCTGCATGCAATGTGGAAGGAGATGGTCTCATGGATTTTGAGCCACAGAATATTATTTCCCAACAATCTCCACCTTGGATCAAATCCATTGTGGAATTGACAATTGGAACAGTCGACTAAATCCAAGCACCGCTCGATTTTAGCAATAGGAAAAGCTTCAGAATAGCAGGATGGATAACCATCAACTTCCTATGCGACTGAAAGAGCATAAGCAACCATGTTGGTTTCATCATCACTAGCATACCTAGCAGGTTTTTTGATTGTCCTCCTAGGACGATCCATAGCAATGGAATACTCTCGTTGTGGCTCGACGAGAGGTGTCGTGCTAGTAGACGCATCATCTTTAGTATTACCATCAGTGTTAGTAATACTGTCAATAGGCCTGAACTCAAACTCCACCTTATCATCAGTACTCTGCGTCTCACCTGTACTGGAATCTTTTCCAGAAGAAAGTAGTGCATTTTCGTCAAAAGTGATATCTCGACTCAGAATGATTTTCTGAGAATCAGGAGACCATAGACGATACCCTTTTGACTCAGAGGCATAACCAAGGAAAATGCATTTAACAGCTCTCGGCTTTAATTTACCCGTACTAGAATGAGCATAAGCAGGACATCCAAAAACTCTTAAGATAGAGTAATCAACAGGATTACCTGACCAAACTTCATCTGGAATTTTGAAATCAAGGGATGAATGTGGAGATCTATTTACCAAATAGCAAGCAGTAGAAACGGCCTCGGCCCAAAAATCACGCCGTTTCCATAACCCAGCATTAGAGAGCATACAACGAGCTCTTTCCAATAGAGTCCTATTCAAACGTTCGACAACACCATTCTGCTGGGTTTACCAGGCAAAGTCTTGTGCCTGGCGATTCCATTTGCCGCACAAAAGTCATTGAAATCTGACTCACAGAACTCCAAACCATTGTCTGTCCTGAGCTTCTTGACTTTTTTACCCGTCTGAGTCTCAACAAGTATTTTCCACTTCTTGAAAATAGAAAATACCTGATTTTTATGTTTCAGGAAATAGACCTAGACCTTACGAGAGAAGTCATCAATAATAGACATGAAATATCTACAGCCTCCCATAGACTGGAATTTAGTTGGTCCCCATAAATCGGAATGTATGTATTCCAATACATCTTTGGTACGGTGTGTAGCAGTAGAGAAACTAACCCTCTTTTGTTTCCTAAAAACACAATGCTCACAAAATTGTAATTTACCCGTACCTGAACCAACCAGGAGACCTTTCTTGCTCAGGAGATGCATGCCTTTCTCACTCATATGCCCCAGACGCATATGCCATAGTTGAGTGAGATCCGCATCAGACATCGATGAGGATACCGCTACTGAACCTGTCACAGTACTGCCTTGCAAGATGTACAAGCTTCCGGAACGAGAAGCTTTCAAGAGAATAAGAGAGCCTTTTATGACCTTCAGAACTCCACCTTCAGCTATGTACTTGCACCCCAAAGATTCCAAGGTGCCCAAGGATATCAGATTGCGTTTCAAATCAGGAATATACCGAACATTGATAAGAGTCCTGATAACATTATCATGAGTTTTAATCTGAACACTTCCAATTCCACTAACCTTGCATTGGGTGTCATTACACAGCAAGACAACACCCCCATCAACCGGTTCCAGAGAGACGAACCAGTCTTTGTGAGGACACATGTGGAATGTACAACCAGAGTCCAGAATCCACTCGGTTTCGCTCCGTTTGCAACCGGAGCTAACAGATAACAAAACATCGCCTTCTGAATCACTTTCAACAACACTAGCTTCAGCGGACTTCTTTTCTCTCTCTTGCTTGTTTTTCAACTTGAAACATTCAGTCACATCATGACCATGCTTCTTGCAGTACTTACAGGATTTGTTGGACTTATGTCCTTTGGACTTGGATCTAGAATTTTTATTACTACTCCCTGATTCAAGTGAACGACCCCTTACAGTCAAGCCTTCACCTTTGTCCTCAGACTTAATTTCAAAGTCAAACTTTTCTTTGGACAATAGGTTCGACTTAACATTGTCGAAAGTAAGGGTATCACTACTATTACCATACAGCATAATTTCTTTGAAATGCTTGTATGAATTAGGGAGAGAGACAAGCAATAAAACAGCACGATCCTCATCTTCAATTATGACATCAATATTTTCCAAGTCCAATAAAATAGAATTGAATTCATCTAAGTGAGATTTAATAGAAGTACCTTCCGTCATACGGATTGTGTACAAACGCTCCTTCAGGCGTAGCGTGTTCGCCAGAGTTTTGGCCATGTAAAGCGTATCCATCTTGGACCATAAATCTGACGCAGTCGTCTCACTTAATATCTCACGTAGAACCTCTTTAGACAGGCACAAAAGAATGGTTGAACGTGCCTTGTCATCCAGCTCTTCCCAATCTACATCTGTCATTGTAGCCGGTTTCTTCTTCTTCCCAGCTAGTGCTTTCTTCAAACCGTTTTGGGTTAGAACGGCTTCCATCTGAACCTTCCAGATAGAAAAGCTAATTTTCCCGTCGAACTTCTCGATATCGAACTTGGTAACAGTCGACATCTTTGAAAATAACTCTCAATTAAACCGCTCTGATACCACTTGTTAGGAATATAGCGGAAGCGAAGAATCGAAAATTGAGAATTATAGAAGTTAAATAATAGGGAAAGTATATAAATGACAAAAGTGTTGCTAAATTGGGAAATATAAAATATATATATATATATATATATATATATATATATATATATATATATATATATATATATATATATATATATATATATATATATAAACTCTCAAACAGAGAATTACAAAACAAATATATATATATATTTGTACGTGAAGGAAAGGAATGAATTAAGGATGGATAATGAATTGATATTGATGCATTACAAAATAAAACACTTAGCCTATTTATACATTAAATTGAGAGAGAAATAAGGCAAATGCATGAACCTCCACAAATCTCGGAGAATGTGCAAGAATAGAGACCATGCTGCATGCAATGTGGAAGGAGATGGTCTCATGGATTTTGAGCCACAGAATATTATTTCCCAACATTTCTATTGTTTTTGGTTTTTGTTTTTTGTTTTTTAAAGGATGACAGCTTCTATTGTTAGATGATTGTTTAACCATTTGACTGTTAATTTCATGTCCTTCAATGTTGCTTAAGGCGTCAATTGAACGGTTTTATCGGCTGTCTCTATAGTGTTTGACGGAAGTCCGCAAAGACTCTAAAATTACAAATCTTGTTTTTGCAAGAGCTCTGAATCATTTTATATTGATATTAATAACTTATCTTTCATTTGACAAGCTAAATAAGAGGTCATGGTGCGAATTGTAACATTTTACTCTGTAGGAATTGAACATATTATATTAAGATGTAACTGATTAGCTTTTCTTAGTTTCTATTGTGGAATTCTTGTTAAAACCTCATTTTCACAGGCTACATTTAGGAGTTATTCAATGCTGATATTAATAGTAGGCACTTTGCTGCCTATTTTTTCTTTTCAATAAGATTATAGGATAAAGAAAACAAGGATGTGTTATCTAGTTGTTCTTTGATGAATTGAGTAAATTAATGATTAATAAGGGTGTGTAGTCTTCAATCACATGAAGTTTATTAGTTAGTTTGATGAATTAGGTATCAATGAGATAAATGAGATTCTCTGTGTTATTTTCTTCTCTCAGTCTCTCTAATATTTTTCAGTTGCTATTTATATTTATATTTGATTTTTGTACGGTGCCGATCAACTGCGATATGTATTGTGTGTATTTAGTTGTACTAGGTGATCTGGGTACTAGTGTTACATAGTAGAAATCAAATAACATATATGGTTGGGTTGTATATTGAAACAAAGACACTGATGCTGGTTGAAGCCTTAAAAATTTTGTGTTTGAAAGTGATGTTCCCTTGTTGTACTATACGTGTTAGATGCTGCTTTGGCACAGCTTGAGTTAGAGAAGAGATTGGCTTTGATCAAAGATTGGGAAGAGAATGAGAAAGATAAAGCTGATAACAAGTATGATTCCCCTCCCTGCCATTCCTGGCTTTTTATTTACTTTAATTTAATTTTCCACTTGTTTTAATTTGGTGTTGAATTTTAAATTTTATCAAGTACATAGAAAGTGTATAATACTGAATAATCACGTACATTATATTTAACAATGATGATCCGGGCGCACAAAAAGTTGTCTGCTATTGCAGCATGGGAGAACACTAAGAAGGCTTCTGTTGATGCTCAACTGAAGGAAATTGGGGTAATAAAACATGGAAGTTTGAGACACTTATTATTTTTTTCTTACAATTGCTAATGGTACAGTTATCAGTCAAAGATCAAATTTTTTCTTTCAGGGATAGATAGGGTTTATGGTTTAATTCCAGATGCTTTTTCATATTTGTCTTTAGCTAGTTTCCTTTGAGAATTTTGATGTTGAGTTCTTTTTATTTTAAATTAAAATTTAATCATTAGTGTCACATTCTCCATTATTGATTGTTGAACTGTTAGGGGGCGTTTGGTTTAGGTTTGTATTATATAATGAGAATGAATTTGAGAATATCTGTACTTGAAATGATTATATTATATAATGAGCTATGTATATGATGTTATTGATTCCTCCATATCTATATTATATCCTGGGAGTGTTTATGAACAAATATGAAATTGTATTTCTCTGTGCTTATATTATATATGTTGCAAATGAGTTTTGGAAAGGTTATGTTCGGAAATGATTGATGATTGAAAGTTATTATTACTTTGAGAATCCTCCTTTTGTTATTTTGAAAGTGAGTAGTGATAGTTTGAGAAACATCTTTACTTTTGTTATTTTGTAAACTATTATATTGTGCTTTAAACGTTTTAAATATTATACTTGAGAGATCTATTACCTATATGACCTTAGTGAATATTGCGAGTAGAGTGTGTGTTAAACTTAATTTAAATTTGTATGTTTTAAGTGTTGCATATAGACTCATCTCCTCTTACTTTCCTTTACTTGCATATCTGGCTTCTTTGGATGTAGCAATGGTGATCTTTTGAACAATTGTGGAGTATCACTAATCTTGAAGTTAACATTTAATTGCATGGTATTGAAGAGGAATTCAATAGAGTTGCAAATAAATTAACTAGTCATCTGAGGTGTTTCTTTGAGTTGTTTTGAGTGCCATAGGATATGCTTATGAACAATTCCCTTTTATATCACATTCACACATTCACATGAACTGCAAATTAATTTAGTGTCCAGCTAAAACTTATTTGTTGGATGAACAGATGAAGACATTCCTTTAATTTACTAAACAAACTTTAGAATTAGGATGTAAGAATTCAGAAGTTTTCTATTTTTTATGTGTTAGATTACTTAAACATAAAAGGCATTCCTTTAATTTTCTAGTTATTTTGTAAAATGCATAGGTATCTACTCATTCTGTGTTAGATTACTTATATCACGGTCCATTTTTGGTGAAGGTCTACACTTTTGATCAACTTCATTGAAGGAGGTTGTGGATGCTGCATTGATCAAAGCCATTGAAGCAGTGCCGGATTTGAAGGCTTATTTGGGTGCAGCGAGCATACTTACGTAGTATCAAATAAGTATATTTTCATACTTAAGTAGTACGGAGTATCAATCAAGTAGTATATATTTTTTTTATGTTTTTTTTTATGAACATGAACATAATTTTTGTTGTAAATAATTTTGATGTTTAAATATATTATCAAATTTTCAATTTAGTGTGTTCATTAATTTGTTGATGACATAACTTATTAACAACAGTTATTAAATAAAATTATGGTAATATAAAAATAATAAAAATATTCCATATGATTTAGGATTTTCCTACCAACGGTTGGAAGGAAAATAACAAAATATAATAGGTGAGTTTTCTGTCCAAAGCTAGGTCAGAATTTCCGACCAACAAACGTAGTTGGACGGAATTTCCGACCAACGAACGTAGTTGGACGGAATTTCCGACCGATGCACAAAGTTGGTTGGAAGTTCCCACGTTTTGAAAATGGTGGGTTACTTTCCGGAATTTCCGTCCAATTTTTGTTCGTTGGACGCTATTTCCGACCAAAAATTGTAGTTGGACGGAATTTTCGACGGAGGTTTTTCCGAACGTTCTTTTTGGTCGGTATGTTGGACGAAAACGTCGTTTCCGACCAATATATTGCGTTTTCCGTCCAATATTTGTTGGACGGAAAACGTGAGATTTCCAGCAGTGATCCCTACGTATACGCAATAATTTGTTGGAGTAGTAAAATAAATGAAATGTTTACTTTAAGGGTATAAATGTCAATTTAATATATCAGGGGGAAAAAAGCATCACTTTTAGAATAATTGAGGGGGCTAATGTGCTTACCTAAATAATTGAGGGGAGAAAAGTGCTATATGTATATAACTCAGGGGTAAAAAGTGTCATTTTTTTTTTATTATTATTTAGTTTTAAATGGTTTTTTTTTTGTGATTTATTAAATTATCGACTTCAATAGTTTTATCCAATTGAGTCTTCAGCTATTAGAATTAATGACTAAATTAAGAAAATTTACTATAGTCGATGACGGAGTTGAGTAAAATCAATATAGTCAAAGACTAATATGATTAAAATTACTATAGTCAATAACTAAATTGAGTATTAATAGAAGTGAAATTACCAAACTATATTAAGAGATGACTCAATTGAATAAAACTATCAAAATCGATAACCTAATTAAACACAAAAAGTCGTGTAAAACTAAATCAAGAAAAATCATTATATTTGATAACTAAATTAAGTATTAACTCGATAAATAACACAATTAAGGCTTTGCTTTTCAGGGAAAAGAAAAACCACAATTAAGGCTTTATATACCAAAGAAACTGATTAGTGCCATCTCCTATATGTGATGGATTGGAGATGGATATGATCGCCAATTCTATTTAACAATAATGATTTTTTTTTAAAATAAAGAAGCTAATTCATTAATCATAGACTGAAACGTTTATAATAAAAATTCATGAAATGGTCAAATATTTTTTACAGTCAGACATAGAGGTTGAAACGTATATATTAAAGATTCATGAAATGGTCAAACATTCTTTACAGCCAGACATAGAAACAACTTCCATAGCAATGTTACAGAAAATTTGATTCGCACACTGTTTCACAAATTTGAAGCTGAAATCTTTGAAGGAACGACTTAAAACTTCTTTAATGATATGGTCAAACGTATCCAAAACTAACACTGATTGAATAGTCTTGCACACCACCTGGATGAATTGGTCATTATATGAGGTGTGGAGAGTTAAACTGCATTAGAAAGACCATGTATGATATACTCAACTGAGAGAATTTGAGCAAGAATTAAACTTATAATCTTCTAATATGAGAATCATGCTTCACCTACCTAATCACCCCTTTCAGGATGATCGAATTGGAGAGATAATGATCCTTTCAAACTAGGTTCAACAATATTAGTCAAAATTCAATAGAACACATGCATGCCTCTTCCACTAATTGATGTTCAACATAGTTTATTACATTGTTAAACTAAATTGTAGTTTGCATTTGATATGAAAAATAATTGGACACCTGAATTGCGGTAACTGGACATAATGAAAGACAAAATCATAATGGTTTGACTCAAAATCACGTGAATCTGTTGAAAAGGAATGGATAGTTATATGTACACCCACCAATAATTCACACAAGACCTCAAGGCTGAGGCTGTTTGCATGTACCAAACTCACGAGGCCTAAATTGTGAATATGACAAAACATTCAAGCTGTAGCTATATAATTATTGTCATCATATCACACATTTGAAGTATCTACGTACAGTTCCTCATGGTATATACCAAAAGAATGTAGTATCAAATTAGGTTGTGTTTAGAAACTCATAAAATAATTTTTGAAAATTATTTTTTGAGTTTTATGTTTGGCAAGGGAAGAAAAATGAAGGTTAATGGAAATTGATTTTCGATTAAAGGGGTAATAAAGTTACTTTTTTTTGAAAAAATGAATTCTCCTTATATTACATGCCAATTATTTAAAATGATAATTCTCATCATGATACTTTTCTCCATCCATAAATAAACCAACTTTTAATTTAAGAGAAAGTCAATAACGATTATCCAAAATGAATCAATTGTCGAACAAACTTGACAAGTAGTGGTGGTTGGAGAATTATGTATTCATACCAAGTTGGTGAAATGGGAGTATGCGGAAGTGTGTTTTGTTGGAATAAATGAATTAGGTGGAAAATGAATTGTAATTCGGTGAAAAAAAAGAATAAGGTGTGAATAAAGTAAGAATTCAAATTGAGTTTTATTACATTGACTTCCAAATCTTACTCCCTGGTGTGACGGGTATTGATAAGCTACTTTTTTTCATGTGATCCCAATACAAGTGTTTACATTAAGATTTTGTGTGGAAGGAGTAGAAAATGAGAGTACATATAGTATTTTTCATTCAAATTACATTGTTAGTAAGGATGAATATAATTATTGAGAATTGGGAGAGAAAAAGTGATAAAAAGATTAAAATGCCCTTGTAAAATAATAATAATAATCAAGGGCAAACAAGTCATTTTTTTTTAGTTTTTTTTTTTTCTTTTCCCACCTCTCCGAATTACAATTCCTATGAGAGGTCCAAGAATTTCAATTCCACAAACAAAAAGAAGGCAATTTCTTCCAACCAAACACTATAATTCGAGAGAATGACCAAAAAATTATGTTGTAATTGAATTGTAACTATGTCCAACCAAACAGCCTAGGAAGCACAGTACCGAGCCTAGATGGTTCGGACTTGAGAAGAATAGAAGATTACTCCCCAGTTTTCAGCTTCATTCTCAGTGTTCAAACTAGGAAAAATTTTCATGGTAGTTCAGTATAAAATCATCTAAAACTTGGTATTTCTTGTTAGTTAGAAATGATTAAAAATATGGTGCCTGCTTTTCTGTATTGTACTAGTGTTTAGTGGGAAATAATGTCACAGAGACGTGTTCTCGTTATTGTAAACGAAAGCAGACAAACAACTCCGTTGTCTCCATTCATGGAGTCACTTTCAAGAATGTGTCAAGAAAAGGAACAAAGCTGCAGGATTGGTGGTGGTAATCGCAGTGGCAGTAAAAGAAAAATGGCTCAACACTGTGAAATTGGAGCAAGAGGGAAGAAAATGGAGCTAACCCTCAACCCCAACAAGGTAAAAACTGTGACCTGAGAGAGAAGAAGAAGTCTAGAGAGAGAGAGAGAGAGAGAGGGGTTCCATGGCTACAGCTAGCTCTAGCGTGAATCGATCATCACCAATAACCAATATAGCCAAAGACCACCTTTTCTCCATCTTGCTATTGCTGCCCATAGATTCAATCTTGAGCTTTGCCATGACTTGCAGGAGGTTCAAGTCGCTGTCTTGCTCTGATTCCCTCTGGGAATCGATCTGCAGGAGGGATTGGGGCCAGTCCTCGGTGGATGCCCTCAAACCCTTTCTTGAAACCAAGCAGGGAATCTCTTGGAAAAACATTTACCGCCAAATTCACCAGTTGGATTCTCTGTATTGCAGCAGAATCTTGAGTAATCCCCAGACTGAGGAGCTGATTCCCAGGCCCAGAGCTTCTCATTCCCTCAACTTTGTTTCCAATTGCCTGGTTCTCTTTGGTGGAGGTTGCGAGGGAGGTCAGTTTTCATTGCTATGCTCATCCAGTTCTTCAATTTTTGTTTCTGATTAACTCTTTTCAGTAGATGAATGGTTGCTTTTGTTTAGCATATAACCATTAATGTGCAATCCAACTATCAGCTTAGACTTTTAGTTGAGATGGAGCACATGCTTCAGTTTGGTATCAGAGCAAGACCAAAGGTCATGGTTTGAATCATGCTTCAATTGCTTTTCTCTGCTACTGCCTGATTGCAACTTTTTTGATGCTTTTTTCTAGTGTATTGATCTAAGTAGTACTTTGATTCTCTCCATTATTAGTTTGCATAAATGGTTGTTCTTGTTTCCTTCATCTCTGCTTCTTCAAAAAGCCAGGAAACGGGCGACGAATGAGATAATGGAAACTATTAGACAGAACTATTTCTTGTTAGGAATGAAATTCCCATGATTGGTAAATCTTTTGTTTATCCAATATACCAGCAGAAATGGCACCTTAGAGGCTTAGGAAACTTTGTGTTTTTCATGCTTTATGATTCTTAAATGGACTCGATGGGAACTTAACTGTTGTTTTTGCATGTTCTTTACCCTTAGGTCGGCACCTTGATGATACGTGGGTAGCATACATAGGTAGTGACTTCCGGAAAATAGTGAAGTGGAAAAAGATAGATTCAGGGAGTCCAAGTGGGCGGTTTGGGCACTCGTGTATAGTCATTGGCGATTTTCTGGTCCTCTTTGGAGGGATCAACGACCTTGGGGTGCGCCAAAATGATGCGTGGGTGGGGCAAGTATCGTTACATGATCCGTGTGGTGTTACGTTATCTTGGAGATTGCTTGATGCGGGTACACCTATTGCTCCCCCGCCTCGAGGGGCTCATGCTGCTTGTAACATTGACAAAACGAGGATGCTAATTCATGGGGGCATTGGCTTGTCTGGCCACCGATTAGGTGATACTTGGGTTGTGGACTTTTCGGAGGATCTTCACTTTGGAGTGTGGCGAGAAATAGTAACCCACCCATCCCCTCCATCGCGTTCTGGGCACACGTTAACCTACATAGGAGGAAACCAAATCATCCTGTTTGGAGGGCGAGGAGCGGGCTATGAGGTGCTCAATGATGTATGGCTCTTTGATGCATCTGAAGGACATTGGAGATGGGTGCAGTTATTCTTCGACTTGCAAAATATACCCCACGGTTTGACCCTCCCTCGCGTTGGTCACTCTGCCAACCTCATCTTAGGCCGAAGGCTTCTGATCTATGGAGGAGAAGACTCGTACAGGCATAGAAAAGACGACTTTTGGGTGCTGGATATCAGCTCAATTCCGGGTATTAAACTGCAGCCTGCTGCAACTCTTGATCCAAAGAAACCGATTTCTAAAGCGTGGAGGCAGCTGAGGGCAAAGGGGGATAATCCCGACCCCAGATCATTCCACCGCGCTTGTGTGGATCATTCAGGCCGTTACCTTTACATCTTTGGTGGAATGATAGACGGCTTACTTCAGCCTGCAGAACCATCTGGTTTAACATTTGACGGAGGGCTATTTCTCCTCGAGATTGTGCTGCAGTGCTAAGAAGCATGTAAAAGCGATGTTATTCTGATCTAGAGATGTTAATCCTAAGAAGCATGTAAATGTGGTGTTTGTGGTAACCTTAAATGAAGACAACAGAACCAGAAATTGGAAGGGCACAAGAGTTTCTTTTCCTGGGAAATTTTTGCAGGTGACTTAGATGCACATGTTGCTGATGCCATGCATCCAACATAAAAACCAACCATCAATCCGACCTTTTATGATCAAGAAACGCAGATTACAAAGTTATAAGTTCGACTTCCAGCGAAAACGATCTATTGGCATTCTTGATTTAATCCAGTTAGCTATAGGCAACCCAGACTGGTTTTGATTTACCTCCTTGTCTTTTGTTGTCTATCGACCTTCTTAGTTTGAGCCAGTCAACTATACGTTGGTTTACCTTGTACACATCTTCAGGTAGTGGTTGCAGGTTTTCCTCGTTACTCATAGCAGAACATGAAGATCAAATCTGTTAGCAACTAAACAAGGTTGTTTGTTGGGTTTAAGGATCCTTTTGTGGGAAGATTAAGCATTGGTCCTGTCTACTTTTAGCTCACAAAATATGTGATGGAAAAGACAAAAAGTTATATTTGTTCAGAAAGTAGTAATGAATGAATGAAGGCTAAAAGGGAAAAAAAGCCCCATGAAATTCTCATCTGATACAAAGAACCAACAAGAACTGTTTTCCTCAACTCCAGCATACCCACAATCTGTTCAAACAAAACATGTAACCACTCCCCATTACAAAATCTTTCATGCTTTAAGAGTGAACGAAAAAAAAAAAAAAAAAAACGAAAGCCTACTAACTATACACAAAATTAGATATCAACTATATGTTCAAACAACCAATATTCTGTCACCCCTTAGTTATGGCATCACTGCATTACTTCTATCGCCATCTATACTGCACCACACAAAATATATCACACTGGTATGACATCGGTTTTTGATGCATCTTCACATCTCAAAACTATGCCCTCGAGGCTAGCCGGAAATATACATTTCATCCACTGACATCCGGTTGTGAATGGCTCGGGAGGAGGTACGATCATAAGCACATTTTCGTTCCTTTGTACTACTCCCATTACACTAACAGTGCTTCCTTCTTTGATATACCTGCCCGGAAAAATAAGCAATTAGCATCCCATCTCGGAGAATTCTCCTCTTAGGAATGTGGGACGGGAGAAACTCGGGAAATAGTTTTAAAAAAAGGATTAGAAGCATTTAATTCCAACAATGAATTTTATTTGGTAACCACAAGGTTATAAGTTCAATTCCCAGCGGGAGCGGCCTATTGGCCTTCTTGGTTTGAGCCGGTCAACTATGGGCAACCTAGGCTGGTTTAGCTCCTTGTGGTCCTTTGTTGACTAGGATCATAAGGCCAGGTTTACCCAGTACACACCCTCAGGTAGTGACTGCGCGTTTTCAATTTAGAGAGAGAGAGAGAGCGAGGTTTTACCCTTCCTTCAATCGCATTACACGATCATCGCTTGAAAGTTTCCTCTCTCCCAACCACCTGATAAATTCTGGGGACAACTCCTTATTCACAGGGTTGACATCAATAACCACGGACTCATCCACGTACGGTGTGACCTTTGCTCCATAGCCGGTTTTAACCAACGCTCTCAATCCAGACTGAAAATCAGATATGTAAAAGTCGACCACGTGTTTCTGAAAGAAAATATTCCGCATTCTTGTCAAATATTTAATCAGCAACCTAAAAATGAAAGTATTACCAAAAACATAACTTGTATCCTTAATTCCTAGATTCGAAGAGGTAAAATTCAGAAACTAAATATCACCCAAAAAAAAAAAAAAAAAAAAAAAAAACAATAGTATACCTGTATGTAAATTATTTTTTTGCCAATAATATAGCAGCACTTATATATAATGCATTTAAACTAACAAAAAGCTCAAAAAGCAATTTAGCTACTGACTTCTGATGATCTAAGTCCCCAGGTAAAACGACGGTGTGTGGGATTTGCAGCTTTGGAATCCCAGCCCCGGTACTCATACAAACTTGTAGACGTATAGATACACCTAGGAACCTTCTGGAAGGACGATTCAAGAGGGACGTTTCCGCAGGTCACAACCTTTACAAATATAACACAAATATTAAATTTAGTATCCAAAAATGAATATCACCAAGGTAACTTCAAATAGGTAAACACGAGTGATAATCATAAAGATAGAGTGACCAACTATCTAGTGTCAATATCACCTGAAAGTCAGATCACGATGAAAAATGTCCCATCATCTTATGGAGAAACCGAGAAAGCACTTACCCCAGAAACCTTGACGTATTGCCCGTTTCTTGCAGTTCTTAATTCAGCATCTGGATATCGACCGATGAAACCAATGATAGCTTTTCTTCCCCAGCACGAGTTCCACATGAACAACGCAGCAACGATCCCAAATAGAACTATAACAACGATTAGAAGTATGGGGTTGTGCACGGCTCCGAGAATAAACCCACCAGCAATGAAGCCCATGACGAACAGCAAAACCATTGCCCACAAGATAGGCTTCGGGAAGTTCCTTCTGAAGGAGAACTCGTCGTGTTGAGTAAGAGTTGTCACAGCCTGGTTGGTTGCAATAGAAGGACCGTGCATTTTCATGGAGCCCATAGAGTCCAATTGACCCGAGAGCTTTCTTGGTGCCCCAGAAGAATTCAGCGGGCCAGATGAGATGGGACCAGAAGTAATAAGACCTGTAGCGGGTAAAACTGGTGGTTGAGGTCCAGAATTTTGGCGGCCAGTTGCTCCACCAGATTGAGGTCCAGAAGACTTTTTTATCGGCTCCCCGTGCTTATTGAGAGGACCAGAATTAGATTTCTTCATTGAAGCTGAACCAGTTACCATTGACGACGAAATAGGACCCGAGGTTGAGTATGCAGCCCGGGCAGCAGCACTAGGATTGATAGGTCCAGAATGCGAAGCATTTCCTGCAAACGATCCTGATCTTGATGGGGCATTACTTATAGGACCAGATTTTCTTGACTTGGAGCCATCCACAGGGATATCAAACATTTTTCCAAGTTCTCCCGATTTCTTGATATCACCACCAGTATAGGGCATGGCCACAGAACTCATTGTTGGGGCCTTTTCTTTTGGCTGCTCAGGCCGGCCCGATACATAGAGGCCATTGCTGAGCTGATGAGATGGGAATCTAGAACCCATCAAGCAATCCTATGAACTTATGAAACACGCCTCGCGAAAGCACACACCAATGCAAATATTTGACCTTAATTAAGTATAAGCAAAAAGAATGCATCAGTCAAAAGCTTTACATAATCAACTACACGACAAATGCCCAGGGATCACATAAATTTATTAACAATAACAAGAACGCATGTAATCATATACATGAAAATAAGAGCAATTCATAAATAAGCAAGGGTAAGGGTAAAGCATATTCACTCACACATCAAAGAGATATTTGCATATAATCTGATATAATAATACCCAGATTTTGCTAACCTAAAATGACGAGAAGAAACAATTTTGAGAAGTCAAGACTATACTGTTGGAGAAGGGAAACCGAGAATAAACTTTAAATTAATATTGAAAACTAACTAACGTGTGGATATAGCTCCTTAGAGCTATATTCTTTGGATAAACCCCAGCTAGGGGAAAGATCAATAGAAAGTAAAACAGAACTATGACTTAAAACCATACTTGAATCAATATGGAATAAGGGGCCGATGATCAAACAACAAAGCAACACCTGATCACATTCCTTTTAAAAAACAGAAACACATAATCCACTGTATTATTAACAGATGGAACAACCAATCATGACTGATGAAGGAAAAAAGAGCAACAAGATAAACGGTTTCATAAATACTATGCAAGTGAGATCGAACGAATGAAGTAAACTGTGATGGCTGACTTACACACAGAGGAATACTTTACACTGAATATTTCAGAACAGGAAATAGGAAATAACATTTACATTTATTACGAGCCTAACACTCTAGCGTAAGCTAGAGGAAGCACAAAAAATCATGCTGTCATCAATTGCTAGAAAGGCAAACAGTGACAGTGGTAAGGTTTGTTTAACAATAATAATAACTCCAAGAAGGTTTGCACACATTCCCCAGAACCCCTCCATAGTTAAGTCTAGTAAAGTACGGAGTAGTAAATATGAATAATAGAGGAATGATATTTCACCAGTCCAATATCTGGGTCACATATTTATAAAATGAAGGATGTAGAAGTTCAAATTGTTAGTTCTTAATCTGGAAGATTCAAATTACAAGTATTGATAATTTAAACATCTTTGAAATCCTTAACTATTCTAGCTAAGATCTGAAACAAACGGCACAAACAACCAACAACTCTGCATTGACTCTGTGGATTTCAAGTCTAAAATCCAAATGGAGCCAAAATGAATTAAAAAATCACATGGCAGTGGGTAGAAAAGTTTAGATCAGACAAGCCAAATGACATCAGAAGTTTTACTACAAAAATACCAAATCTGAATCACAAAACAATATAATATATAAACCAACAATAAAATTAAAAAAAAAAAAAAAAAGGAAATTTATGATCAACCCAATTTTCCAACAAATTGAGAATCAGGGAAAAAATAAACTCCCCGCACCCCACAATTTGCAGAACCCCAAGATTCAGTCTTGCCACTGGGTAATTAAGAAAAACCCAGCAGTCACATATTATTCTTGATATTCATCTTCACTGTTCAAAATACACTTTCTATCCAAAATGAGATAAGTGATAACTTTCCCAACCAAAACCCAAAGGAGAAACATTCCCACTCCACTACTCTGAGCCAAATCAACTGTGCCCAAATAACAGAGAAAAACAAGACGCCACATGGTGGAAACAAAGGGCCAAAATGGGCACACAGGAAAAGTAAAGATCTGGGTCATTGTATATACCTGAGAAAGCAGTAGATCAAAAACCCTGAACAGAATTCAAAACAGCATTTTCATGTTTATGTTGCTCGTATAGGGAACCGCTTGTTAGTACAACTAGCTGAGATTGTGGTACGATCCCATCACCATCCGGTAGCTTGTTTCTCTCTCTCTCCCTCTCCTCTCCTCGAATCTTCAGAGAGCCGCAACAACTGGTGGGTTGTCTCTTCCGGCAATAACCTCCAAACACAGGTAAGCAAAAATAAAAAAGGAAGCAGAAAACTAAAAGGGTTTATATACTACTCTAATAATCACACTGGTTTTATATATAATATATATACATATATAAAAATTTAGAGAGAGAAAATGACTGTGTGACTGTGTGTTGTTGTGATTTGTGAGAGAGACAGTAAGAGGTTTTTCTATAAAAATTAAAATTAATTAATTAAAAAAAAAAAAAAAAAAAAAAAAAAGGATTCGCGAACCACACCTTTCACCTCCTCCTCTGCACGTTTTCCCCGAGTGATTGGCTCAAGGCTTTGCCTTCACTGCCGTTAGTTATACTGAAATACTGAATCTTCCAAAATGATAATGTACTCCCATATATTTTATTAATTAAATAAAAGAAGAAAAATAATTATAATTTATTTTGGAAAATACTTTTTTCCCCTCCACAATTATCCATCACAATTTTTTTCTCATAAGGATGCCTCTATTTATTGGGTAATTATAAATTGACTGATCTTATTACTAATTAAAAAATGAATTTAGTTATTAATAAAATAATATTACATTAATAAAGGAAGTTTGTAAGAGAAATATAGACTGGTATATAGTATCGCTCTTTACTTTTTTTAATAGACTATCATTACATCTACTTTAAAGTTGAATCTATA